CATGCGCACTCATTCCGCCGCTTTACAGTATCGTTTTGTACCATATATTCAGTGCTTATGAAATATATCCAAATCATAACTCAATCAGGTAAAAGATATGAGTTCCGGAATCTTTAATTCCTTGACAGACCACCCTTGATTATCACTCACAGCATTGGACTGATGAAAATGAGACAATTCTTGAACACTTCCTTCACAAAGATCTGTCTTGGTATATAGATCGACCCACAGCTTAGGTTCATTGTCACCATCAAGCAGACCGACTCTATTTACTGGGTCGTGACTCGTGAAAGGCGATTATTGGTTTACAAGCATCTTTGTAGTATTACTGTGGTAAGGAAGGATTCAGTGCTGAATGCTTTTATAGGAGAAATGCTCAAGCAAGAATTTCATGGTCGCTGACAATGAAGACGACTGCTTCTCATGCGATTCTAGAATCAGATTTGGCATTAACTGTTTTCCGGACGATAGTATCAAGTGTGGAAATTTTGCCCCAACAGATAATGGCGGAGCAAACATCAGAGCAATGGGCTTCATATAAATGCGGTGACTGAAAAGTGCTCAGATGCCTTTAAAGCTTGTACTATGAAAGCCATTTCCCACTGCAAAGAACAGTGTGCTCTCTCATGATGATTTGATTCCACCCATCTGCATTTATCTGATTCCACCTATATATGGCAATTGATCTTATCTTTTTCACCCCAAGCTAACTAACTGTCATGACGTCTATCAGACAAACAGACAGGCATGAAAAGTCCTTCTGATTGTCTCTAGTTTTAAGCCCACCCACTGATTTTACCTGTTCTCTCCATGGCATGCCCGTAGCTTGATTAGGCAAAAAATTGTTTCCTTCCGTTACGGAAGAAAATAATATTCAATCAAGTAACAATATTTAAGAAAAAAAGAACCACTTTTCATGACTCTTTCGCCTATTTATTTTCCGCAAATTTCATAAATTCTTATCAAAATTTTCAAAGAGAATGTTCTTTGAACAACGAAAAATTTCAGAAGCTCTTATCCTAACGCGCTCAACGTAAGCACAGTTTCATTCGGTTTACGGTCAACTCGCCGACGGACCAACTCGCCGACACCAACTCGCCGACGTATAAAATCGAGTAGAGACGTCGGCGAGTTGGTCGTCGATCCAATACAACTTATTAGAAGCTAAACATACAGGAAATTAAACGATATTTAGTAAAAAAACATTGGACATTGGTGAACATCAAACAGA